GCTTCAAATGAAGGCTGAAACATGTTTATATAGTTCCCAAAATTTGCACGCGGTGGAATTCTACCCGATACCGACGCTAACCGCGGCTTTTGGTCGCACCCGATTGAGTTTCCGTCACCCGACGGGAACATTTTTTTTAAAACTTATGAAATAATTGTTTTTGGGCGAATAACATAAGTTCCTGAATGCTTTAGACACTCATTAGGATAAAATAAACGCATAATTTATATAAATAAATTTCAAAGAGAAATCGGAACGAATCCGATTACGGCGATTTCCCGGGTAGAACGGGTTTTGGCGACGAACAAATTTCGGGTTGTTACACTATATGTTCTTAAAACATGAGTAGATAAATTTTTTTATGTGTAAGTTACTCATTTTCAAAATAAAATTCAACGGTTTTGTGCTTACGATATGTTAAAAAAAAAATTGAATTCATATGTTCTAAATTGCATATAACCCTTATTTTGTATTGAATAATATTTGTTTTCTTAAAATATGTAATTGAAGGTTTTGAATAATAGATAAATACTTTAATTTTTTCTAAAAAGACTTATAAACAAATTGAATGATATGATGATTAAAGTTAAAATAATTTTTTTAACAGTTAATAAGTAAAATTAAAAACTAATATATAGTCTATAGAAAAATATATGGATGCTAAAGAAGACAATTTGATAGCTATCATATTATATAAAAAAAGAACAAAATACAAAACAATGAAAGATAAATGTATCTCCTAATATTTTAAATTTTATTTAAAACTACATAAACCAATGGAACAACAAAGTATTAAGCTATTAATATTTCTATTATATTTTCCTAACATGTATATGTGTGTATGTGACTTGAGGACATGTATTTGGCGGTTATAATCAAGAAACTATAAAATTTTGTTTATAGAAGTGTCAGAAAGCATATATCTTAGCTATTAAAGGCATAGAATAAAATGAAAAATGCATCTAAAAGTTCGGATAAGAAAAAATGTATTTCTAGTAGATTTCGGATTATGTGTTTTTTTATTTAAAATAAAATTTAAGAGCTTGTACATTCGAACCTAGTATATTTTTTATTCGAGTTTTCTTTTATAAATCTAAAACCTTTACAAATCCAAGAAAACTCATCCCCGATCACGTCGATAACATTTTGAAATAGATACGGATTACAGTGACCTATTTTAAATAATTACACAGATTGTTATCCTCTAATATATTAAAATGACAAAAAAAAAAGTCAGAATAAGTACTTATGAAATGGGATCTTAGCGAGATTGTTCCTTTCACATGCATAAACTACCTGAGAAGAAAGTTAAATTTAAAAGCAAAAATAAAATGAATTTAAAAAAGAAAAACTCAATTACTATCAAATAAACAGAAATATATGAATTTAATTAGACCATAAATATGTTGTAATTATGAAGGATACTTAGTTATACATAATTTTCAAAACGCTTATTTGAGTTGAGTATACATTGCAGTCACTTCTAGTAAAGTTAGTATAAATATATTCACTTAACAATTCTTGATATATCCTCTCATATGAAGATGTTAGGGAATAAGCAATTTTTGTTTTCGTTCTTTTTTCTTAGCCTTCTCGTCATATGTGAGTTGATTTTTCATATCATAAATGATTAGAGTATCTAAATGAACATATTGTAGTTTAGAACAATAATCTATTACGAAAAAGCTTGATGACATAGTTGCAACACCTGATGATCATCTTTTACAATATCACAATAAAGTGAAAATTTTCACATTTATCTCCATCAATATTTTATGTGTTAATTTGTTCACATGTGTGGTATAATCGTTATATTTTATGTTATGAGTTCTTTTTTGCAGTTGTAAATGGGAACAACATTGGCGATAAAGCTTTTAAAACTACCTTAATAAAGACTATTTTGGGAGATGCAAGCCCACAACCGTCTACTATGGAGTATGATAATCCTCATCATGATGCCAAGTTAAGAGGTGTATGTGTACCACTTCCATCATCACATTGTAAAGGAACAGATGGAGCTTGTTATTGTTGTATTGGTCCAAATATGAATATATGCATAAGAGGACTTAGTTTGTGTCATACTATATGTTCTTAAAACATGAGTAGATAAATTTTTTTATATGTAAGTTACTCATTTTCAAAATAAAATTCAACGGTTTTGTGCTTACGATATGTTAAAAAAAATTGAATTCATATGTTCTAAATTGCATATAACCCTTATTTTGTATCGAATAATATTTGTTTTCTTAAAATATGTAATTGAAGGTTTTGAATAATAGATAAATACTTTAATTTTTTCTAAAAAGACTTACAAACAAATTGAATGATATGATGATTAAAGTTAAAATAATTTTTTTAACAGTTAATAAGTAAAATTAAAAACTAATATATAGTCTATAGAAAAATATATGGATGCTAAAGAAGACAATTTGAAAGCTATCATATTATATAAAAAAAGAACAAAATACAAAACAATGAAAGATAAATGTATCTCCCAATATTTTAAATTTTATTTAAAACTACATAAACCAATGCAACAACAAAGTATTAAGCTACTAATATTTCTATTATATTTTCCTAACATGTACATGTGTGTATGTGACTTGAGGACATGTATTTGGCGGTTATAATCAAGAAACTATAAAATTTTGTTTATAGAAGTGTCAGAAAACATATATCTTAGCTATTAAAGGCATAGAATAAAATGAAAAATGCATCTAAAAGTTCGGATAAGAAAAAATGTATTTCTAGTAGATTTCGGATTATGTGTTTTTTTATTTAAAATAAAATTTAAGAGCTTGTACATTCGAACCTAGTATATTTTTTATTCGAGTTTTCTTTTATAAATCTAAAACCTTTACAAATCCAAGAAAACTCATCCCCGATCACGTCGATAACATTTTGAAATAGATACGGATTACAGTGACCTATTTTAAATAATTACACAGATTGTTATCCTCTAATATATTAAAATGACAAAAAAAAAGTCAGAATAAGTACTTATGAAATGGGATCTTAGCGAGATTGTTCCTTTCACATGCATAAACTACTGAGAAGAAAGTTAAAATTTAAAAGCAAAAATAAAATGAATTTAAAAAGAAAAACTCAATTACTATCAAATAAACAGAAATATATGAATTTAATTAGACTATAAATATGTTGTAATTATGAAGGATACTTAGTTATACATAATTTTCAAAACGCTTATTTGAGTTGAGTATACATTGCAGTCACTTCTAGTAAAGTTAGTATAAATATTTCACTTAACAATTCTTGAATATCCTCTCATATGAAGATGTTAGGGAATAAGCAATTTTTGTTTTCGTTCTTTTTTCTTAGCCTTCTCGTCATATGTGAGTTGATTTTTCATATCATAAATGATTAGAGTATCTAAATGAACATATTGTAGTTTAGAACAATAATCTATTACGAAAAAGCTTGATGACATAGTTGCAACACCTGATGATCATCTTTTACAATATCACATAAAGTGAAAATTTTCACATTTATCTCCATCAATATTTTATGTGTTAATTTGTTCACATGTGTGGTATAATCGTTATATTTTATGTTATGAGTTCTTTTTGCAGTTGTAAATGGGAACAACATTGGCGATAAAGCTTTTAAAACTACCTTAATAAAGACTATTTTGGGAGATGCAAGCCCACAACCGTCTACTATGGAGTATGATAATCCTCATCATGATGCCAAGTTAAGAGGTGTATGTGTACCACTTCCATCATCACATTGTAAAGGAACAGATGGAGCTTGTTATTGTTGTATTGGTCCAAATATGAATATATGCATAAGAGGACTTAGTTTGTGTAATACTATATGTTCTTAAAACATGAGTAGATAGATTTTTTTATATGTAAGTTACTCATTTTAAAATAAAATTCAACGGTTTTGTGCTTACGATATGTTAAAAAAAAATGAATCCATATGTTCTAAATTGCATATAACCCTTATTTTGTATCAAATAATATTTGTTTTCTTGAAATATGTAATTGAAGGTTTTGAATAATAGATAAATATTTTAATTTTTTCTAAAAAGACTTACAAACAAATTGAATGATATGATGATTAAAGTTAAAATAATTTTATAACAGCTAATAAATAAAAATAAAAACTGATATATAGTCTATAGAAAAATATATGGATGCTAAAGAAGACAATTTGAAAGACATCATATCGTATAAAAAAAGAACAAAATACAAAACAATGAAAGATAAATGTATCTCCCAATATTTTAAATTTTATTTAAAACTACATAAACCAATGCAACAACAAAGTATTAAGCTACTAATATTTCTATTATATTTTCCTAACATGTACATGTGTGTATGTGACTTGAGGACATGTATTTGGCGGTTATAATCAAGAAACTATAAAATTTTGTTTATAGAAGTGTCAGAAAACATATATCTTAGCTATTAAAGGCGTAGAATAAAATGAAAAATGCATCTAAAAGTTCGGATAAGAAAAAATGTATTTCTAGTAGATTTCGGATTATGTGTTTTTTATTTAAAATAAAATTTAAGAGCTTGTACATTCGAACCTAGTATATTTTTTATTCGAGTTTTCTTTTATAAATCTAAAACCTTTACAAATCCAAGAAATCTCATCCCGATCACGTCGATAACATTTTGAAATAGATACGTATTACAGTGACCTATTTTAAATAATTACATAGATTGTTATCCTCTAATATATTAAAATGACAAAAAAAAAGTCAGAATAAGTACTTATGAAATGGGATCTTAGCGACATTGTTCCTTTCACATGCATAAACTACCTGAAAGAAAGTTAAAATTTAAAAGCAAAAATAAAATGAATTTAAAAAAGAAAAACTCAATTACTATCAAATAAACAGAAACATATGAATTTAATTAGACCATAAATATGTTGTAATTATGAAGGATACTTAGTTATACACAATTTTCAAAACGCTTATTTGAGTTGAGTATACATTGCAGTCACTTAACAATTCTTGAAATATCCTCTCATATGAACATGTTAGGAAATAAGCAAATTTTGTTTTCGTTCTTTTTTCTTAGCCTTCTCGTCATATGTGAGTTGATTTTTCATATCATAAATGATTAGAGTATCTAAATGAACATATTGTAGTTTAGAACAATAATCTATTACGAAAAAGCTTGATGACATAGTTGCAACACCTGATGATCATCTTTTACAATATCACGATAAAGTGAAAATTTTCACATTTATCTCCATCAATATTTTATGTGTTAATTTGTTCACATGTGTGGTATAATCGTTATATTTTATGTTATGAGTTCTTTTTTGCAGTTGTAAATGGGAACAACATTGGCGATAAAGCTTTTAAAACTACCTTAATAAAGACTATTTTGGGAGATGCAAGCCCACAACCGTCTACTATGGAGTATGATAATCCTCATCATGATGCCAAGTTAAGAGGTGTATGTGTACCACTTCCATCATCACATTGTAAAGGAACAGATGGAGCTTGTTATTGTTGTATTGGTCCAAATATGAATATATGCATAAGAGGACTTAGTTTGTGTCATACTATATGTTCTTAAAACATGAGTAGATATTTTTTTATATGTAAGTTACTCATTTTCAAAATAAAATTCAACGGTTTTGTGCTTACGATATGTTAAAAAAAATTGAATTCATATGTTCTAAATTGCATATAACCCTTATTTTGTATCGAATAATATTTGTTTTCTTAAAATATGTAATTGAAGGTTTTGAATAATAGATAAATACTTTAATTTTTTCTAAAAAGACTTACAAACAAATTGAATGATATGATGATTAAAGTTAAAATAATTTTTTAACAGTTAATAAGTAAAATTAAAAACTAATATATAGTCTATAGAAAAATATATGGATGCTAAAGAAGACAATTTGAAAGCTATCATATTATATAAAAAAAGAACAAAATACAAAACAATGAAAGATAAATGTATCTCCCAATATTTTAAATTTTATTTAAAACTACATAAACCAATGCAACAACAAAGTATTAAGCTACTAATATTTCTATTATATTTTCCTAACATGTACATGTGTGTATGTGACTTGAGGACATGTATTTGGCGGTTATAATCAAGAAACTATAAAATTTTGTTTATAGAAGTGTCAGAAAACATATATCTTAGCTATTAAAGGCATAGAATAAAATGAAAAATGCATCTAAAAGTTCGGATAAGAAAAAATGTATTTCTAGTAGATTTCGGATTATGTGTTTTTTATTTAAAATAAAATTTAAGAGCTTGTACATTCGAACCTAGTATATTTTTTATTCGAGTTTTCTTTTATAAATCTAAAACCTTTACAAATCCAAGAAATCTCATCCCCGATCACGTCGATAACATTTTGAAATAGATACGTATTACAGTGACCTATTTTAAATAATTACACAGATTGTTATCCTCTAATATATTAAAATGACAAAAAAAAAAGTCAGAATAAGTACTTATGAAATGGGATCTTAGCGAGATTGTTCCTTTCACATGCATAAACTACTGAGAAGAAAGTTAAATTTAAAAGCAAAAATAAAATGAATTTAAAAAAGAAAAACTCAATTACTATCAAATAAACAGAAATATATGAATTTAATTAGACCATAAATATGTTGTAATTATGAAGGATACTTAGTTATACATAATTTTCAAAACGCTTATTTGAGTTGAGTATACATTGCAGTCACTTCTAGTAAAGTTAGTATAAATATATTCACTTAACAATTCTTGATATATCCTCTCATATGAAGATGTTAGGGAATAAGCAATTTTTGTTTTCGTTCTTTTTTCTTAGCCTTCTCGTCATATGTGAGTTGATTTTTCATATCATAAATGATTAGAGTATCTAAATGAACATATTGTAGTTTAGAACAATAATCTATTACGAAAAAGCTTGATGACATAGTTGCAACACCTGATGATCATCTTTTACAATATCACGATAAAGTGAAAATTTTCACATTTATCTCCATCAATATTTTATGTGTTAATTTGTTCACATGTGTGGTATAATCGTTATATTTTATGTTATGAGTTCTTTTTTGCAGTTGTAAATGGGAACAACATTGGCGATAAAGCTTTTAAAACTACCTTAATAAAGACTATTTTGGGAGATGCAAGCCCACAACCGTCTACTATGGAGTATGATAATCCTCATCATGATGCCAAGTTAAGAGGTGTATGTGTACCACTTCCATCATCACATTGTAAAGGAACAGATGGAGCTTGTTATTGTTGTATTGGTCCAAATATGAATATATGCATAAGAGGACTTAGTTTGTGTCATACTATATGTTCTTAAAACATGAGTAGATAAATTTTTTTATATGTAAGTTACTCATTTTCAAAATAAAATTCAACGGTTTTGTGCTTACGATATGTTAAAAAAAATTGAATTCATATGTTCTAAATTGCATATAACCCTTATTTTGTATCGAATAATATTTGTTTTCTTAAAATATGTAATTGAAGGTTTTGAATAATAGATAAATACTTTAATTTTTTCTAAAAAGACTTACAAACAAATTGAATGATATGATGATTAAAGTTAAAATAATTTTTTTAACAGTTAATAAGTAAAATTAAAAACTAATATATAGTCTATAGAAAAATATATGGATGCTAAAGAAGACAATTTGAAAGCTATCATATTATATAAAAAAAGAACAAAATACAAAACAATGAAAGATAAATGTATCTCCAATATTTTAAATTTTATTTAAAACTACATAAACCAATGCAACAACAAAGTATTAAGCTACTAATATTTCTATTATATTTTCCTAACATGTACATGTGTGTATGTGACTTGAGGACATGTATTTGGCGGTTATAATCAAGAAACTATAAAATTTTGTTTATAGAAGTGTCAGAAAACATATATCTTAGCTATTAAAGGCATAGAATAAAATGAAAAATGCATCTAAAAGTTCGGATAAGAAAAAATGTATTTCTAGTAGATTTCGGATTATGTGTTTTTTTATTTAAAATAAAATTTAAGAGCTTGTACATTCGAACCTAGTATATTTTTTATTCGAGTTTTCTTTTATAAATCTAAAACCTTTACAAATCCAAGAAAACTCATCCCCGATCACGTCGATAACATTTTGAAATAGATACGGATTACAGTGACCTATTTTAAATAATTACACAGATTGTTATCCTCTAATATATTAAAATGACAAAAAAAAAGTCAGAATAAGTACTTATGAAATGGGATCTTAGCGAGATTGTTCCTTTCACATGCATAAACTACCTGAGAAGAAAGTTAAATTTAAAAGCAAAAATAAAATGAATTTAAAAAAGAAAAACTCAATTACTATCAAATAAACAGAAATATATGAATTTAATTAGACCATAAATATGTTGTAATTATGAAGGATACTTAGTTATACATAATTTTCAAAACGCTTATTTGAGTTGAGTATACATTGCAGTCACTTCTAGTAAAGTTAGTATAAATATATTCACTTAACAATTCTTGATATATCCTCTCATATGAAGATGTTAGGGAATAAGCAATTTTTGTTTTCGTTCTTTTTTCTTAGCCTTCTCGTCATATGTGAGTTGATTTTTCATATCATAAATGATTAGAGTATCTAAATGAACATATTAGTTTAGAACAATAATCTATTACGAAAAAGCTTGATGACATAGTTGCAACACCTGATGATCATCTTTTACAATATCACATAAAGTGAAAATTTTCACATTTATCTCCATCAATATTTTATGTGTTAATTTGTTCACATGTGTGGTATAATCGTTATATTTTATGTTATGAGTTCTTTTTTGCAGTTGTAAATGGGAACAACATTGGCGATAAAGCTTTTAAAACTACCTTAATAAAGACTATTTTGGGAGATGCAAGCCCACAACCGTCTACTATGGAGTATGATAATCCTCATCATGATGCCAAGTTAAGAGGTGTATGTGTACCACTTCCATCATCACATTGTAAAGGAACAGATGGAGCTTGTTATTGTTGTATTGGTCCAAATATGAATATATGCATAAGAGGACTTAGTTTGTGTCATACTATATGTTCTTAAAACATGAGTAGATAAATTTTTTTATATGTAAGTTACTCATTTTCAAAATAAAATTCAACGGTTTTGTGCTTACGATATGTTAAAAAAAATTGAATTCATATGTTCTAAATTGCATATAACCCTTATTTTGTATCGAATAATATTTGTTTTCTTAAAATATGTAATTGAAGGTTTTGAATAATAGATAAATACTTTAATTTTTTCTAAAAAGACTTACAAACAAATTGAATGATATGATGATTAAAGTTAAAATAATTTTTTTAACAGTTAATAAGTAAAATTAAAAACTAATATATAGTCTATAGAAAAATATATGGATGCTAAAGAAGACAATTTGAAAGCTATCATATTATATAAAAAAAGAACAAAATACAAAACAATGAAAGATAAATGTATCTCCCAATATTTTAAATTTTATTTAAAACTACATAAACCAATGCAACAACAAAGTATTAAGCTACTAATATTTCTATTATATTTTCCTAACATGTACATGTGTGTATGTGACTTGAGGACATGTATTTGGCGGTTATAATCAAGAAACTATAAAATTTTGTTTATAGAAGTGTCAGAAAACATATATCTTAGCTATTAAAGGCATAGAATAAAATGAAAAATGCATCTAAAAGTTCGGATAAGAAAAAATGTATTTCTAGTAGATTTCGGATTATGTGTTTTTTTATTTAAAATAAAATTTAAGAGCTTGTACATTCGAACCTAGTATATTTTTTATTCGAGTTTTCTTTTATAAATCTAAAACCTTTACAAATCCAAGAAAACTCATCCCCGATCACGTCGATAACATTTTGAAATAGATACGGATTACAGTGACCTATTTTAAATAATTACACAGATTGTTATCCTCTAATATATTAAAATGACAAAAAAAAAGTCAGAATAAGTACTTATGAAATGGGATCTTAGCGAGATTGTTCCTTTCACATGCATAAACTACCTGAGAAGAAAGTTAAATTTAAAAGCAAAAATAAAATGAATTTAAAAAAGAAAAACTCAATTACTATCAAATAAACAGAAATATATGAATTTAATTAGACCATAAATATGTTGTAATTATGAAGGATACTTAGTTATACATAATTTTCAAAACGCTTATTTGAGTTGAGTATACATTGCAGTCACTTCTAGTAAAGTTAGTATAAATATATTCACTTAACAATTCTTGATATATCCTCTCATATGAAGATGTTAGGGAATAAGCAATTTTTGTTTTCGTTCTTTTTTCTTAGCCTTCTCGTCATATGTGAGTTGATTTTTCATATCATAAATGATTAGAGTATCTAAATGAACATATTAGTTTAGAACAATAATCTATTACGAAAAAGCTTGATGACATAGTTGCAACACCTGATGATCATCTTTTACAATATCACATAAAGTGAAAATTTTCACATTTATCTCCATCAATATTTTATGTGTTAATTTGTTCACATGTGTGGTATAATCGTTATATTTTATGTTATGAGTTCTTTTTGCAGTTGTAAATGGGAACAACATTGGCGATAAAGCTTTTAAAACTACCTTAATAAAGACTATTTTGGGAGATGCAAGCCCACAACCGTCTACTATGGAGTATGATAATCCTCATCATGATGCCAAGTTAAGAGGTGTATGTGTACCACTTCCATCATCACATTGTAAAGGAACAGATGGAGCTTGTTATTGTTGTATTGGTCCAAATATGAATATATGCATAAGAGGACTTAGTTTGTGTCATACTATATGTTCTTAAAACATGAGTAGATAAATTTTTTTATATGTAAGTTACTCATTTTCAAAATAAAATTCAACGGTTTTGTGCTTACGATATGTTAAAAAAAATTGAATTCATATGTTCTAAATTGCATATAACCCTTATTTTGTATCGAATAATATTTGTTTTCTTAAAATATGTAATTGAAGGTTTTGAATAATAGATAAATACTTTAATTTTTTCTAAAAAGACTTACAAACAAATTGAATGATATGATGATTAAAGTTAAAATAATTTTTTTAACAGTTAATAAGTAAAATTAAAAACTAATATATAGTCTATAGAAAAATATATGGATGCTAAAGAAGACAATTTGAAAGCTATCATATTATATAAAAAAAGAACAAAATACAAAACAATGAAAGATAAATGTATCTCCCAATATTTTAAATTTTATTTAAAACTACATAAACCAATGCAACAACAAAGTATTAAGCTACTAATATTTCTATTATATTTTCCTAACATGTACATGTGTGTATGTGACTTGAGGACATGTATTTGGCGGTTATAATCAAGAAACTATAAAATTTTGTTTATAGAAGTGTCAGAAAACATATATCTTAGCTATTAAAGGCATAGAATAAAATGAAAAATGCATCTAAAAGTTCGGATAAGAAAAAATGTATTTCTAGTAGATTTCGGATTATGTGTTTTTTTATTTAAAATAAAATTTAAGAGCTTGTACATTCGAACCTAGTATATTTTTTATTCGAGTTTTCTTTTATAAATCTAAAACCTTTACAAATCCAAGAAAACTCATCCCCGATCACGTCGATAACATTTTGAAATAGATACGGATTACAGTGACCTATTTTAAATAATTACACAGATTGTTATCCTCTAATATATTAAAATGACAAAAAAAAAGTCAGAATAAGTACTTATGAAATGGGATCTTAGCGAGATTGTTCCTTTCACATGCATAAACTACCTGAGAAGAAAGTTAAATTTAAAAGCAAAAATAAAATGAATTTAAAAAAGAAAAACTCAATTACTATCAAATAAACAGAAATATATGAATTTAATTAGACCATAAATATGTTGTAATTATGAAGGATACTTAGTTATACATAATTTTCAAAACGCTTATTTGAGTTGAGTATACATTGCAGTCACTTCTAGTAAAGTTAGTATAAATATATTCACTTAACAATTCTTGATATATCCTCTCATATGAAGATGTTAGGGAATAAGCAATTTTTGTTTTCGTTCTTTTTTCTTAGCCTTCTCGTCATATGTGAGTTGATTTTTCATATCATAAATGATTAGAGTATCTAAATGAACATATTAGTTTAGAACAATAATCTATTACGAAAAAGCTTGATGACATAGTTGCAACACCTGATGATCATCTTTTACAATATCACGATAAAGTGAAAATTTTCACATTTATCTCCATCAATATTTTATGTGTTAATTTGTTCACATGTGTGGTATAATCGTTATATTTTATGTTATGAGTTCTTTTTTGCAGTTGTAAATGGGAACAACATTGGCGATAAAGCTTTTAAAACTACCTTAATAAAGACTATTTTGGGAGATGCAAGCCCACAACCGTCTACTATGGAGTATGATAATCCTCATCATGATGCCAAGTTAAGAGGTGTATGTGTACCACTTCCATCATCACATTGTAAAGGAACAGATGGAGCTTGTTATTGTTGTATTGGTCCAAATATGAATATATGCATAAGAGGACTTAGTTTGTGTCATACTATATGTTCTTAAAACATGAGTAGATAAATTTTTTTATATGTAAGTTACTCATTTTCAAAATAAAATTCAACGGTTTTGTGCTTACGATATGTTAAAAAAAAATTGAATTCATATGTTCTAAATTGCATATAACCCTTATTTTGTATCGAATAATATTTGTTTTCTTAAAATATGTAATTGAAGGTTTTGAATAATAGATAAATACTTTAATTTTTTCTAAAAAGACTTACAAACAAATTGAATGATATGATGATTAAAGTTAAAATAATTTTTTTAACAGTTAATAAGTAAAATTAAAAACTAATATATAGTCTATAGAAAAATATATGGATGCTAAAGAAGACAATTTGAAAGCTATCATATTATATAAAAAAAGAACAAAATACAAAACAATGAAAGATAAATGTATCTCCCAATATTTTAAATTTTATTTAAAACTACATAAACCAATGCAACAACAAAGTATTAAGCTACTAATATTTCTATTATATTTTCCTAACATGTACATGTGTGTATGTGACTTGAGGACATGTATTTGGCGGTTATAATCAAGAAACTATAAAATTTTGTTTATAGAAGTGTCAGAAAACATATATCTTAGCTATTAAAGGCATAGAATAAAATGAAAAATGCATCTAAAAGTTCGGATAAGAAAAAATGTATTTCTAGTAGATTTCGGATTATGTGTTTTTTTATTTAAAATAAAATTTAAGAGCTTGTACATTCGAACCTAGTATATTTTTTATTCGAGTTTTCTTTTATAAATCTAAAACCTTTACAAATCCAAGAAAACTCATCCCCGATCACGTCGATAACATTTTGAAATAGATACGGATTACAGTGACCTATTTTAAATAATTACACAGATTGTTATCCTCTAATATATTAAAATGACAAAAAAAAAGTCAGAATAAGTACTTATGAAATGGGATCTTAGCGAGATTGTTCCTTTCACATGCATAAACTACCTGAGAAGAAAGTTAAATTTAAAAGCAAAAATAAAATGAATTTAAAAAAAAAAACTCAATTACTATCAAATAAACAGAAATATATGAATTTAATTAGACCATAAATATGTTGTAATTATGAAGGATACTTAGTTATACATAATTTTCAAAACGCTTATTTGAGTTGAGTATACATTGCAGTCACTTCTAGTAAAGTTAGTATAAATATATTCACTTAACAATTCTTGATATATCCTCTCATATGAAGATGTTAGGGAATAAGCAATTTTTGTTTTCGTTCTTTTTTCTTAGCCTTCTCGTCATATGTGAGTTGATTTTTCATATCATAAATGATTAGAGTATCTAAATGAACATATTGTAGTTTAGAACAATAATCTATTACGAAAAAGCTTGATGACATAGTTGCAACACCTGATGATCATCTTTTACAATATCACGATAAAGTGAAAATTTTCACATTTATCTCCATCAATATTTTATGTGTTAATTTGTTCACATGTGTGGTATAATCGTTATATTTTATGTTATGAATTCTTTTGTGCAGTTGTAAATGGGAACAACATTGGCGATAAAGCTTTTAAAACTACCTTAATAAAGACTATTTTGGGAGATGCAAGCCCACAACCGTCTACTATGGAGTATGATAATCCTCATCATGATGCCAAGTTAAGAGGTGTATGTGTACCACTTCCATCATCACATTGTAAAGGAACAGATGGAGCTTGTTATTGTTGTATTGGTCCAAATATGAATATATGCATAAGAGGACTTAGTTTGTGTAATACTATATGTTCTTAAAACATGAGTAGATAATTTTTTTATATGTAAGTTACTCATTTTCAAAATAAAATTCAACGGTTTTGTGCTTACGATATGTTAAAAAAAATTGAATTCATATGTTCTAAATTGCATATAACCCTTATTTTGTATCGAATAATATTTGTTTTCTTAAAATATGTAATTGAAGGTTTTGAATAATAGATAAATATTTTTTTTTCTAAAAAGACTTACAAACAAATTGAATGATATGATGATTAAAGTTAAAATAATTTTTTTAACAGTTAATAAGTAAAATTAAAAACCTATATATAGTCTATAGAAAAATATATGGATGCTAAAGAAGACAATTTGAAAGCTATCATATTATATAAAAAAAGAACAAAATACAAAACAATGAAAGATAAATGTATCTCCCAATATTTTAAATTTTATTTAAAACTACATAAACCAATGCAACAACAAAGTATTAAGCTACTAATATTTCTATTATATTTTCCTAACATGTACATGTGTGTATGTGACTTGAGGACATGTATTTGGCGGTTATAATCAAGAAACTATAAAATTTTGTTTATAGAAGTGTCAGAAAACATATATCTTAGCTATTAAAGGCATAGAATAAAATGAAAAATGCATCTAAAAGTTCGGATAAGAAAAAATGTATTTCTAGTAGATTTCGGATTATGTGTTTTTTTATTTAAAATAAAATTTAAGAGCTTGTACATTCGAACCTAGTATATTTTTTATTCGAGTTTTCTTTTATAATTCTAAAACCTTTACAAATCCAAGAAAACTCATCCCGATCATGTCGATAACATTTTGAAATAGATACGGATTACAGTGACCTATTTTTAATAATTACAGAGATTGTTATCCTCTAATATATTAAAATGACAAAAAAAAAGTCAGAATAAGTACTTATGAAATGGGATCTTAGCGAGATTGTTCCTTTCACATGCATAAACTACTGAAAGAAAGTTAAATTTAAAAGCAAAAATAAAATGAATTTAAAAAAAAAACTCAATTACTATCAAATAAACAGAAATATATGAATTTAATTAGACCATAAATATGTTGTAATTATGAAGGATACTTAGTTATACATAATTTTCAAAACGCTTATTTGAGTTGAGTATACATTGCAGTCACTTCTAGTAAAGTTAGTATAAATATATTCACTTAACAATTCTTGATATATCCTCTCATATGAAGATGTTAGGGAATAAGCAATTTTTGTTTTCGTTCTTTTTTCTTAGCCTTCTCGTCATATGTGAGTTGATTTTTCATATCATAAATGATTAGAGTATCTAAATGAACATATTAGTTTAGAACAATAATCTATTACGAAAAAGCTTGATGACATAGTTGCAACACCTGATGATCATCTTTTACAATATCACGATAAAGTGAAAATTTTCACATTTATCTCCATCAATATTTTATGTGTTAATTTGTTCACATGTGTGGTATAATCGTTATATTTTATGTTATGAATTCTTTTGTGCAGTTGTAAATGGGAACAACATTGGCGATAAAGCTTTTAAAACTACCTTAATAAAGACTATTTTGGGAGATGCAAGCCCACAACCGTCTACTATGGAGTATGATAATCCTCATCATGATGCCAAGTTAAGAGGTGTATGTGTACCACTTCCATCATCACATTGTAAAGGAACAGATGGAGCTTGTTATTGTTGTATTGGTCCAAATATGAATATATGCATAAGAGGACTTAGTTTGTGTAATACTATATGTTCTTAAAACATGAGTAGATAATTTTTTTATATGTAAGTTACTCATTTTCAAAATAAAATTCAACGGTTTTGTGCTTACGATATGTTAAAAAAAAATTGAATTCATATGTTCTAAATTGCATATAACCCTTATTTTGTATCGAATAATATTTGTTTTCTTAAAATATGTAATTGAAGGTTTTGAATAATAGATAAATATTTTAATTTTTTCTAAAAAGACTTACAAACAAATTGAATGATATGATGATTAAAGTTAAAATAATTTTTTTAACAGTTAATAAGTAAAATTAAAAACTGATATATAGTCTATAGAAAAATATATGGATGCTAAAGAAGACAATTTGAAAGCTATCATATTATATAAAAAAAGAACAAAATACAAAACAATGAAAGATAAATGTATCTCCCAATATTTTAAATTTTATTTAAAACTACATAAACCAATGCAACAACAAAGTATTAAGCTACTAATATTTCTATTATATTTTCCTAACATGTACATGTGTGTATGTGACTTGAGGACATGTATTTGGCGGTTATAATCAAGAAACTATAAAATTTTGTTTATAGAAGTGTCAGAAAACATATATCTTAGCTATTAAAGGCATAGAATAAAATGAAAAATGCATCTAAAAGTTCGGATAAGAAAAAATGTATTTCTAGTAGATTTCGGATTATGTGTTTTTTATTTAAAATAAAATTTAAGAGCTTGTACATTCGAACCTAGTATATTTTTTATTCGAGTTTTCTTTTATAAATCTAAAACCTTTACAAATCCAAGAAATCTCATCCCGATCACGTCGATAACATTTTGAAATAGATACGATTACAGTGACCTATTTTAAATAATTACATAGATTGTTATCCTCTAATATATTAAAATGACAAAAAAAAGTCAGAATAAGTACTTATGAAATGGGATCTTAGCGAGATTGTTCCTTTCACATGCATAAACTACTTGAAAGAAAGTTAAATTTAAAAGCAAAAATAAAATGAATTTAAAAAAAAAAACTCAATTACTATCAAATAAACAGAAATATATGAATTTAATTAGACATAAATATGTTGTAATTATGAAGGATACTTAGTTATACATAATTTTCAAAACGCTTATTTGAGTTGAGTATACATTGCAGTCACTTCTAGTAAAGTTAGTATAAATATATTCACTTAACAATTCTTGAAATCCTCTCATATGAAGATGTTAGGGAATAAGCAATTTTTGTTTTCGTTCTTTTTTCTTAGCCTTCTCGTCATATGTGAGTTGATTTTTCATATCATAAATGATTAGAGTATCTAAATGAACATATTAGTTTAGAACAATAATCTATTACGAAAAAGCTTGATGACATAGTTGCAACACCTGATGATCATCTTTTACAATATCACGATAAAGTGAAAATTTTCACATTTATCTCCATCAATATTTTATGTGTTAATTTGTTCACATGTGTGGTATAATCGTTATATTTTATGTTATGAATTCTTTTGTGCAGTTGTAAATGGGAACAACATTGGCGATAAAGCTTTTAAAACTACCTTAATAAAGACTATTTTGGGAGATGCAAGCCCACAACCGTCTACTATGGAGTATGATAATCCTCATCATGATGCCAAGTTAAGAGGTGTATGTGTACCACTTCCATCATCACATTGTAAAGGAACAGATGGAGCTTGTTATTGTTGTATTGGTCCAAATATGAATATATGCATAAGAGGACTTAGTTTGTGTAATACTATATGTTCTTAAAACATGAGTAGATAATTTTTTTATATGTAAGTTACTCATTTTCAAAATAAAATTCAACGGTTTTGTGCTTACGATATGTTAAAAAAAATTGAATTCATATGTTCTAAATTGCATATAACCCTTATTTTGTATCGAATAATATTTGTTTTCTTAAAATATGTAATTGAAGGTTTTGAATAATAGATAAATATTTTAATTTTTTCTAAAAAGACTTACAAACAAATTGAATGATATGATGATTAAAGTTAAAATAATTTTTTAACAGTTAATAAGTAAAATTAAAAACTAATATATAGTCTATAGAAAAATATATGGATGCTAAAGAAGACAATTTGAAAGCTATCATATTATATAAAAAAAGAACAAAATACAAAACAATGAAAGATAAATGTATCTCCTAATATTTTAAATTTTATTTAAAACTACATAAACCAATGCAACAACAAAGTATTAAGCTACTAATATTTCTATTATATTTTCCTAACATGTACATGTGTGTATGTGACTTGAGGACATGTATTTGGCGGTTATAATCAAGAAACTATAAAATTTTGTTTATAGAAGTGTCAGAAAACATATATCTTAGCTATTAAAGGCATAGAATAAAATGAAAAATGCATCTAAAAGTTCGGATAAGAAAAATGTATTTCTAGTAGATTTCGGATTATGTGTTTTTTATTTAAAATAAAATTTAAGAGCTTGTACATTCGAACCTAGTATATTTTTTATTCGAGTTTTCTTTTATAAATCTAAAACCTTTACAAATCCAAGAAATCTCATCCCCGATCACGTCGATAACATTTTGAAATAGATACGTATTACAGTGACCTATTTTAAATAATTACATAGATTGTTATCCTCTAATATATTAAAATGACAAAAAAAGTCAGAATAAGTACTTATGAAATGGGATCTTAGCGACATTGTTCCTTTCACATGCATAAACTACTTGAAAAGAAAGTTAAAATTTAAAAGCAAAAATAAAATGAATTTAAAAAAAAAACCAATTACTATCAAATAACTAGAAACATATGAATTTAATTAGACTATAAATACATTGTAATTATAAAGGATACTTAGTTAGACATAATTTTCAAAACACTTATTTGAGTTGAGTATACATTGTAGTCACTTCTAGTAAAGTTAGTATAAATATATTCACTTAACAATTCTTGAAATGTCCTCTCATATGAAGATGTTAGGGAATAAGCAATTTTTGTTTTCGTTCTTTTTTCTTAGCCTTCTTGTCATATGTGAGTTGATTTTTCATATCATAAATGATTAGAGTATCTAAATGAACATATTGTAGTTTAGAACTGTAATCTATTACGAAAAAGTTTGATGACATAGTTGCAACATCTGATGATCATCTTTTACAATATCACGATAAATTGAAAATTTTCACATTTATCTCCATCAATATTTTATATGTTAATTTGTTCACATGTGTGGTATAATCGTTATATTTTATGTTATGAATTCTTTTGTGCACTTGTAAATGGGAACAACATTGGCGATAAAGCTTTTAAAACTACCTTAATAAAGACTATCTTGGGAGATGCAAGCCCACAACCATCTACTATGGAGTATGATAATCCTCATCATGATGCCAAGTTAAGAGGTGTATGTGTACCACTTCCATCACCACATTGTAAAGGAACAGATGGAGCTTGTTATTGTTGTATTGGTCCAAATGTGAATATATGCATAAGAGGACTTAGTTTGTGTAATACAATATGTTCTTAAAAGATGAGTAGATAGATTTTTTTATATGTAAGTCAGTCATTTTCAAAATAAAATTCAACGGTTTTGTGCTTACGATATGTCAAAATAAAAAAAATTTGAATTCATATGTTTTAAATTGCACATAACCCTCATTTTGTATCGAATAATATTTGTTTTCTTAAAATACGTAATTGAATGTTTTGAATAATAGATAAATATTTTAATTTTTTCTAAAAAGACTTACAAACAAATTGAATGATATGATGATTAAAGTTAAAATAATTTTTGTAACAGTTAATAGGTAAAATTAAAAACTGATATATAGTCTATAGAAAAATATATGGATGCTAAAGAAGACAATTTGAAACTTGTCATATTATATAAAAAAATAACAAAATACAAAACAATGAAAGATAAATGTATTGAAAGGACCTTAGATCAATCGATTTATCAAACAATGACTAATAAGAAGAACAGAACAACGAAGTATCACAAAGAGCTTTCACTAAGAATGATAATCTGACAAAGAGATTATTGTTTGCACAAAGCGGCTATTAGGGTTTGTGAAAGACCACCCCTTCACAAACCCGTACAAAAGATTATATAGAACTATTATAGACAATCCCTACAAATTTGGGATGTTCCAGCTAACTAATATATGATAACTATGGAAACAAGATAAATACGAAATCTGTTACATATATGACAATATATATAATGAACAACTTTTATGCTGACGTTGATGCTGATGCTGACGTTGATGCTAATGGATCAGTTTCAAACATCATCATATTATAAGGTTCGACCTTACAATCTCCCCCAATATGATGATGTTCAAAACAATAGCAATACGAGAACACCTCTTGACAAGAATTCTTCATACTCAGCTTTAGCTTCTATTTTCACTGGCTAGTAACGACTATCCAGCAACTCCTGTCTTCTATTCAGCAACTCCATAGCAATCAGTATATGAAATTCTCCAGATAGATCTTGATGACTCATGCACATTTGTCTTAAGCGAACAAGATGTGCTGTTGGAGCTCTTGGAATTCTGTGGTGCGCTGAAAGCACATTCTTCTGTTTTTATCGAGATAAAACATTCCATGTTCAGGAACAGAGATGAACTTATGTTGAACCGGCTCAACACCGATAGGAAGAGAGTTGTTTATTCCTTTAGCACCAAAATTTAGAACCAACACATCTTCACTATCAACTTGAAATATGGTCCTTCTGATTCTTAGAACTAAAGAACTTTGACCTTGCTGCTAAGAACGCTGCGTAGGAACAAGATCCAGACGCTGAACTTTCTTGATCAGTAAATGGAGAGCACAGGTCAGTTCTGAAGAGAGAGTCGAAGTTTACTTGGATGCCAATTTGAGCAATTCCACCGATTCAGAATATCCGTATCTGATTAGCTCATCCCTCTTGACAACTTCAGTGTATGGATGTTGAGGACCTTGACGAGTGATCAGCAAAGTAAGAATTTTCTCATTACGAGGTTTAGAGGCTTTAACCTTGATGATCTTATCACTTCTCACACGTCGTTTAAGAACATCTTGAAATTTCTTATGATCAATCCTGTCGAGAACATTTTCAGTCCTTGACTAGCTGTTGCTGGGAGGAGGCTGAGAAGATTTGGATTTGGACTGATATTCTAAGAACTTTTGCATCTGAGCTTCAAAAGATCATTTGGCCTGAAGTTGATGCTGAATGAGAGATTCATCAGCTTGAGCAATATTCTTTAGAAGCTGAGGTTGATTGGCTTCATCAAGAATTTGCTTAACTTGATCAGGAGACATGTTCCATTCAGTTGCCAAGTTGGATATGCTGACGATGGACTTAGGTTTCTTGCTAGGCAGAGAAGTATCAGTTTGTGAAGAAGCCAATTCAGTATTTTCTGCCTCGCTTGCGAGATAGAGGTTGAGTATCCTCACTAGCTACATCTGAATCTTCTCCTTGGACTGGCATAATGGGATCAACGAATTTCATATCTAGCATTTGACATTCATCATCATGTTCATCTTCATCATTATCTGAGGCTTCCCCTTGAACTGGAATAGTGGGATCAATGAAGTTCATGTCCAGCATCTGACACTCATCATCATGATCATCAAGTTGTTCAGTATCTGCTGGTCTATCATGCTCCTCAACAATTGGTCTATCAGACTCGTGCACAGGCTGTGGCGGCTCAGTCTGGTTTAAGGTGTTATCCTCAGATCCGAGCTCAACAGATTCAGTGTCTCCCTCTTTTGGATCATCATCATCATCATCAGTTTCTCCCCCTTTTTGACCATCATCATGTTGTGGGCCAGGGGAAGGAGTTGGCAAAAGAACTCCCTTCAGTTGATGGACATCGGCCTCAATTCGTAAAAGATGCTGACTCATGTCCCGAGTCAGTGTAAGTAGCTCATTGAATGCTGAGGTCGGTATATGAAGGAATTGAGTACCTGGAACTTGTTGGGAGAAAGGTTGCTCCCCCCGGAGAAGGATGCTCCCCCTGAAATGGTTGCTCCCCCGGAGAAGGGTGCTCCCCCTGGGATGGTTGCTCCCCCTGAGATGGTTGCTCCCCCTGAGCTGAGTGGACTCTCTCAGCGATAGAAAGAGTATGATGAGAAAGTTGAGGGGAGAGATGACCACCATCCTGTGATTCAGCTTCTTGATCAGCATGATCTTCGTTGTTACCATCAGCTCCTTCATCAGTATCAGCGGTTAGTGAAGGAACAGTATATGGATTTGCAATCCATTCTCTCATCCCATCAGAGATGTCGATGTCAGTTTCCAATGGATCATCCTGATACATTCGTAGTGACATGCGTGGGCATTGGATGGGGTTTCCAGAGTGTGAGTAGTAAGCTTCACCGAAAAATTTATCTAGCACAAGAGCAATCCAGCGTGGAAAGGGGACATGATCAGCGTGTACAATTGCACGAAGAAGTTGAACAAACTGATCAAAGAAGAAATCCCCAAAATCAAGTCGTTTGTGGAGAAGAAGGGAACAGATGACTTGTTGCTCATAAGTGCTCAGTTGATCACCACTGCGAGATTTGTGACCCACACATTTGCACAGAGCACCGGTGAAGAACTTCCATCCTGGAGTCATACATTGACGTAGAATGAGAGCTGATCGAGTGCCAGCCTTTGAGTGATCATATCCCAGTTGATCAAAGAGATGTCGACAACGTTCAATAGGTGTAAGCTCAGAGAAGGGTTCAAAGATTGGTAACCTGAGCGCAGCACTGAGGAGGTCAGCAAGAATAAAGACTGAGTGTCTTCCACGGCCAATAGTCCCAGAGATGGCATTTTTTTCATCATTAATTGTTGCAGTGTAGTAGAACTCACAGACTTGTTCGGGAAAGAACTCTGATGGAACGTCACTGACTGCGTATCGGAGTCGGCAGGAGACTAAGAAATTAACAAAATCATCAAGTCCAAGACCTCGATGAACATCTGGAATATCAGGGTTGAAAAATACGTTGGTGGCTTTGATGTATATGGGAAGAGGAGGAGAGTTTGGAGCTGGGACGACTCTTCTTGAAGTGGAGGAGAAGGTGAACAGTGATGCCGCCATTGAAGAAGTTTAGGATTCTAGGGTTTTCCTTTTTTTAAGAGAGAGAAGATTGGAGGAAGGTAAAATGGTTTGGGGAAGAGGTGAAAAGGTTTAAATAGGGAATGAAACGGTAAAAAGTAATGATTATCTTTAGTGAAAATAACTGCGTATCTTGACAACTGTCAAATCAAAAAATAGCGTTGGGTAAATAGAGTCGTTGTACCAAAGAGGAAACGACAATCAGTGACTGCGTAAGCGCTGAGATTGCTATCACGGAAAGTTACATGCTGAAAGATAGTTTGTCGTCAATTCAAGGTACAACTTGCTTGTTTAGGGTTAGCAAGGTGATTGGTGCGTGTGATAGATACTAGTTTAATTATCTAACCATCGCACAGAGTGTCGAGTCTTTATCAGTGAGTGGTATTTCTTACTGAATCATTAGACACTGAGTGAGAAGAAGGTGAAGAGAGGATTGTTGCGTGTGATAGACACTGGTGTTTTGGTCTAACCATCGGCAAAGATTGTTAGATTCTCATCAGCATGTGTTTTGTCACACCGAATCACAGAATCAGTGTAAGATTGGTAAGAGTGGATAGTTGCGTGTGATAGAACTTGGTGTTTTGTCTA